CTTTTGGCTGGAACCGCCATCTTCCAGTAATTAACCAAAATGACGAACACAAAGGGAGAGAGGAGAGGCACCCGATATATGTTCTCTAGGCCTTTTAGAAAACATGGAGTTGTTCCTTTGGCGACATATATGCGAATCTACAAGAAAGGTGATATTGTAGACATTAAGGGAATGGATACTGTTCAAAAAGGAATGCCCCACAAATGTTACCGTGGCAAAACTGGAAGAGTCTACAATGTTACCCAGCATGCAGTTGGCATTGTTGTGAACAAACAAGTTAAGGGCAAGATTCTTGCCAAGAGAATTAATGTGCGTATTGAGCGTATTAAACATTCTAAGAGCAGAGATAGCTTCCTAAAACGTGTGAAGGAAAATGACCAGAAAAAGAAAGAAGCCAAAGAGAAAGGTACCTGGGTTCAACTGAAGCGCCAGCCTGCTCCACCCAGAGAAGCACATTGTGAGAACCAATGGAAAGGGGCCTGAGCTACTGGAACCTATTCCCTATGAATTCATGGCATGATGGGTGTTAAAAATAAACTAATCTGTGGTCTATAAAAAAAAAAAAGAAAAAGGAATAGTACATGATTGCAGCTGTTTTTCAGTGTAGCCACTCTCAGTGTTCTCTGTGTTCTTGAGCCATCTGTTGTTATTTTCCTCAGCACCTTCGGTCATTTGTTCAGTACTTGCACTGACTCACCAGGATGACCTATGAACTCTTAGACATTTTAAAAGCAACTGAAAGAAAACTCTTCTCCTCATTGGGTAATTTAGCTCCTGGCTCTGACAGACTTCACGCAGGCTGCCGTGTGATCGTAGGACTCAGCCTGCTCATCCAGTTTGGCTTCTGCACCAGTTCATTTTTTTTTCTACAATCAAACCTTCTGTGTTGGAAGTAGATGATAGCTGATGAGAAAGCATCTCTGGACAGCAGTGTGAAGCTGACTCTCAATAACCTTCGAATATTTTCATGCAAAAATGCCAAAAATTATATAAATAATTCTATTTTAAGGATACCTTCACAGAGTCAGTCACAAGACCCTGCTAGATTATTTCACGTGAAGCAGCCAGATGAGTTTATGGGTTGCTTATATTGAATGTTAAAGTTGCCAGACACTGTTCCAAATGTTTTGTGTATATTTTGTCGCTTTGAACTTCCTGTGAGATTGTAGTGTGTGTGTATATATATATAGATATATATATTTTTTTTTTTTTTGAAGAGGTTTTTGCTATAGGGTGCATGTGCTCACCAGACAGACAGAGACAGAGACAGAAAGCGAGAAGTCACCCCCCGGGGGGATGGCCATGCTACAATCCCTTCTCCTCCATTCTCCTCTCAGGATCTTGGGAACACACGTACACATGCCTGGTGTGAGTTTAAACCACTGGGTCCAGAACTCGAACCACAGTCGACTACATGGGAGTCCAGCAACATAGCCATTACACTAACTGCTGGTCCCGAGATTGGTAGTATTATCACCAATTTTAGATTAGACATTACAGCAAAGTTCTAGCAAGTTGGAAAGGCCAGTGTTCATATCCTGGTGGGCTGGTTCTAGAACCCACATCATTCACAACTCTGTTCTTTGCTTCCTCAAGCAGATCCTTTGGCTTCAGAATTCTCTCTCCATCTCTATATCTATTATCCCTAGTCTCAAGTTCTTATTTTTCCTTTCATGAGACCTTAGGTTCCCAATTGCTTATTCTTTAGATGCAACAGAGATAACGAAATTTAGATTGCTCACTGTGGTGTAAGAACTAGATTCGGGTACCACTCCTGCCTCTTAATCTCACCAAACTTTAGCTTCCTTAGTTGTTAAATGGGCATGGCAATTGAAGTAATCATAGATCATTGAGAACTTTCTAATATGCCAGTTAAAGTGCTGAAGGTCTGGCCAGCAGGTGGCATGGTGGTTAAGGGCACTGGACTCCCACATGGCCAACCACGGTTCAAGTCCTAGACCTGATGGCTAACTTTCTTTCTCTCTCTCTTTCTTTCTGTCCCTCTCTGGTCAAATTAAAACAAATTAATAAATAAAGTTAAATAATTCTTTAAAAAATGCTGAAGGTATTAACATAGATTCGCTCACTTATTCCCTATAATCTTGTGATTAATAATCTGTTTTTATCTCTTTCTAATAGATGAGGACAGGTCCAGAGGTTTAGGTGGTTGGACCAAGGTCACTCAACTGGTACAGCAGTAGCCTCCTCAGAGGTATGTGTGAGGGATCATAATGAGACAGTGTGTACCAGGTACTTCACAAGGTTCCTGATGTGTGCTGAGTATTTAATATCAAAGATGACCATTTTTGTTGTTTATATTGTTATTATGGTCACTATAGTTTATTCATTTCAGTGACACTGATTATCAGATTTATGGTTACATAAATCTCATAGAACCATAGGTTTTTATTAAATTTTGTCTCCTTGACAAGAGTCTTTTAAAGGTCCTACCAGATCATTTACCAGAGTAAGTTATCAGGATCTTAAATCTTTTAAAAAAAACAGTCATTCGTACAGTGGAATGCATAGAAACACAGTGATCAGCAGGGGCTGGGAGAAGGGGAATAGGGAGTTACTGTTTAAGGGGTACAGAGTTTCAGTTTGGGATGACGCAAAAGCCCTGGAGATGTATAGTGATGGTTGTACCACAGTGTAAATGAACGCGCTGAGCCGTATGCCTTAAAATAGTTAACGTGTTTTAACTATTTTAAGGCATACGGCTTAATGCCTTAATGCTTAATGCCTTAAACACCACTTAACGTGGTGTTTAAGTATTTCCTTCTAAAAAGATCCAAGTCATTCATGTGAACTTAAATATTATCGCAGAGATATCAAATTAAGTGTGACAGCCAAGAGAGACTAGAAGATAGTTTAGAGGTTAAAGTTGATTTTTATTTAATAGAGAGCAGCAACCTATAAAATGCTTCTCTTGATAGAAACCATTTAAGAAGACAGGCTTTATGTTACTGAATATTACTGCTTTTCTGCAGCTAGTAAGGGACTCTGAAGTGTTTTTGATCTTCCTCCCTACTCATGTAATGCCTAGAACAATCCTATTAGTTAATTTTCTCATTGTTAATCTCTCTATTTTATGTATGAAAGGATGAAGGCATGAAGACAATGATAATTTGTCTAAGATATCACAGCTAATAAATAGCGGTGCTATGGTTCTAGGCATCTGGCCCCAGAGATTACTCTCTTAACTTGGGTACTTTCATCTCAATTTGTCTTTTTCCTGGAATCAGAATCATACTCAGAACTACACAGAAAAGTTGTGTTAGGGGCACACTCTGGCTGGGCAAGTCACATTGCCATTGGCTATCATAGTAGGTTGAGTGGTGTCTGGAATCCAGCCCATGTCATGCTTATCAAGCTGTGCTGAGGAAGGGATGCCATTGCTATTTCATGTAAAGCAATCGTATGGGTTAGTGACAGCCTTGGCCAGAGTCTCATAGCTTTTTTCTCCCTTCCCTCATTACGCTTTCCCAAGACTCAGCCCTTTCCCAGAAGGAGGGGACAACATGACCAAGTTCAAGGTGAGTTGGACTTTCTAGGTTTGAGATGATCTCATTTCTCAAAGATTACACACATCTTGTTGTTCTTTCTTGGGAAGGATAAAGGAGAGACCTCTTGTGTGCCAAATGCTTGCTATTTTGTATTTTTAGCCTAATTTAAAATTGTTTTTTTCATTTTTATCACTTTATGATTTGATAAATAAGCATAAAATAGAAAAATCAATAATAGTGAATACAAAGATCTAATTTCCCTTATAAAACAACTGGGACCAGCAGTTAGTGTAATGGCTATGTCACTGGACTCCCATGTAGTTGACCGTGGTTTGAGTTCCGGACCCGGTGGCTTAAACTCACGCCGGGCGTGTGTGCGTGTGTGCTCAAAATCCCGAGAGGAGAACGGAGGAGAAGGGATTGCGGCATGGCCATCCTCCCTAGGGGGTGATTTCTCGATTTCTGTCTCTTTGTCTCTCTCTGTCTTTCTGGCAAGCATAAACACCCTATAGCAAAAACCTCTCCAAAAAAAAAAACAAAAACAAAAAACACAACTGTTCTTATTCTCCTGTATTCTTTTCCTTATATGTGTTTATAACTATATATTTGTCATCACCATATAGATAAATTTCTCAAATTACGCTTTTTCTAGTTAATATTATATACCCTAAGTTTTTAAATGTTTGTTTATTTCTTCCATGAGAGGGACAGAGAAGGAAATAGAAAGCACCTCCACCAGGATCCTCATGCAACAGTCTGCCCCCCGCCTCAGGTGCCCCATATCTTGGGAACCTGTGTTCCTGGCATCTATGAACGAGGTCCTGAATGCAAACCCAGGACCTTACCCTGTGAATCCAGTTGCAGTTACTGCTGTACCACCATCTGGCTTTTATATATCCTAAATTTTCAAAGTTACATCATATTCCTTCAAATTAATATAGTCTGTGGGATGTATATGTGTGAGATAGATTTTTCCCATTCATAGATATTTAGATAGTTTAGAATTTTTACTGCTTTAAGGAACATTGGAGTAACAGTTTTGCAACATGTAGCCATTGTTCTGGGGAAAGAATTTGAAGTTCTGCTATTATTTGTAATATTTTAGGATCACTAAAATTAAAAAGTACCTTTAGTATGTGATACTTTGGATAATTTGTATGCAAAATAATCAGACATGTCATGTTGCAACATGATCTGACTGATCACAGAAAATATTAGAGGGACCAACAGTTAGCCTAATGGCTATGTTGCTGAACTCCCATGTAGTCGACCATGGTTCAAGTCCTGGACCTGGTAGCTTAAACTCAGGCTGGGCACGTGTGTGCATGCGTGCCCAAGATCCCGAGAGGAGAATGGAGGAGAAGGGATTGTGGTGTGGCCATTCCCCCTGGGGGGTGATTTCTCGCTTTCTGTCTCTATCTGTCTTTCTGGAGAGCACATGTGCTCTATAGCAAAAACCTCTCCAAAAAAAAGAGAAAATATTATTAGATAGTTTAATGTAAAAAAGCCAGATTTTTTTGTACCCATGCCTGTGTATGTTTTTACTACTATGTAGTTTTCCTGTAATTTATTAATTTATTACCAAAATGAAAATGTATTTAATTTTAAAAGTCCAGTATAAGAGGCCTTTCAGGTAATTTTCTTACTGTTTTTAGTTCTTAAATCAATCTTAAGAGGCTGTATTTGGTCTCATGTACATTTTTTTTTTTAAGGTTTTTTTTTCCATAGGGTGTATGCATTCACCAGAGAGACAGAGAGAGGGAAAGTGAAAAATCACCCCCCTGTGGGGGATGGCCATGCCACAACTCCTTCTCCGTTTTTCTCTTGGGATTTAGACATCCACACACACATGCCCAGTATGATTTTCAAGACAGTGGGTCCAAGACTTGAACCTCAGTTGACCATGTAGAAATCTAGCACCTTAATCTCCACACTACATGCTGGCCCCTCATGTGCATTTTATTTTAATTTGTTTTATTTTTTTAAAGAATTATTTATTTTATTTTTAAAATTTGCTACGGGGCACATGCACTTACCAGAGAGAGAGAGTATTCTTTCTCAACTGCCTGGTCCAGGACTCAAACTATAGTCAGCCATGTGGGAGTCCTGTGACCCAACCACCACACCACTTGCTGGTCCCTCATGTGCATTTTTTTCCTCATATGTATTTTAATTACAAAAAAATAGGATTGGAGAATTTCAGAAAACTGCTCAAGTACACATAGGAAGTCAAAGTTCCAGCTGATTCAAAAAGTCTCCTGGGATTTTTACTTGTACTAGGATAGAGAGAGAGCCAGGGCTGTCGGGGCATGGTGGTTAAGGTACTGGACTCCCACATGGCTAACGTGGTTCGAGTCCTGAACTCTGCAGCTTGAAAATCACACCTAGCATGTAGGTGTGCATGCCCAAAATCCCAAGAGGAGAACAGAGGAGAAGGCTTTGCAACATGAAAAAACATCCACTCCTGGGTGTGATTTCTCACTTTCCCTTCATTTGTTTCTCTCTGGAGAGTGCAAAGCCCTTTGGCAAAAAAACTGGGGAAAAAAAAAGATAATAGAGGCAAGGAAAAAAAAGTTCTCCAGTCAGAGGACCTGGTCCTGGTGAGCAGAAGATGCCACAGAACATACTGCCTCCACCTAGTTCATTCTTCAGTGGCCCCTTTATGATCATTGTCATTCATTTAGGGTACCTGAATGTGCAGGTCTGCAGGGATAAACAAGTCCTTGTGTGTTAAGTTGAAACGATACACCTGTGATTTTTTTTTTTTAAGAATTATTTTATTATTTATTTAATTTTTAATTTGATCAGAGAGTGAGAGAGAGGGAAAGTGAGAAAGCAAGCTGCCCGGTCCGGGACTCGAACTGCGGTAAACCATGCAGGAGTTCAGTGCCCTTAACCCCCATGCCACCTGCTGGCCCCGACTTTTTTTTTTTTTTTGCCAGAGGGAGTGTGTACTCACCAGACAGAGAAAGAGAGAGAGGGAAAGTAGAAAGCACCCCACTCCCCATGGGGAATGGTCACACTGCAATCCCTTTTCTTCTTTCTCTCCCTTCTTGCTAGATTTTGGGTGTGCACAGACATGTACCTCATGTGTTTTTTTCAAGCCACTACGTCTGGGACTTGAACTGCATGGTTGGCTATGTGGGATCCAGTCACCTTAACTACCACACTCTTGCTGGCTCTCTGTGATTCTTAACTGTGGGTGACTTTACCTCTCAGCAATATCTAGAAACAGTTTTGGTGCCACAGCTCAGAGGTATTGTACTTCCTGTATGTAGTGGATTGATGGTAGGAACGCTGCTAAACATCCCACAGTGCACCAGGTGCCCCCCACAGCAAAAACTCATAGGGATAAAATGTTGGTAGTGGCAAGGATGAGAAGCATTGCACTGCTGTGCACAAGACTGTTAGAACAATTGCAAATTGGAGGCAAAAATATGTACAACATATATGCTAAAAAGCAAAAGCTTAAAATCTTTAATGGAAATTTTCAGAATCATATTGCCTAGGATTTTATTTTACTTATTTTTTATTTGCCAAAGAGCACATGTTGTGGGGGAGAAAGCACCCCAATAGGGCATAGTCTAGCTGCATTACCTTCTCTTCCATTTCTCCATCCTGTCAGGACTTGAGCATGCGTGTACATACGCCCAGCATTGTTTTCAAGCTGCCAGGGCTGGGATTTGAACTGTGCAGTCAGCCCATTGGGATCTAGTTCCCTTAACCACAGTGCCAGATCTTGCCTATGATTTAGGTTTTCCTTTTTTTTTTTTTTTTTGAAAAGAAATTTTTATTATTTAGGAACTGTGTAGAGATTTTATCTATAGGGCACATGTTCTCACCAGAGAGACAGAAAGTGAGAAATCACCCCTCGAGGAGGATGGCCATGCTTCAGTCCCTTCTCTTCCATTCTCCTCTCCATATTTTGGGCATGCATGCACACGCACCCATTTCCCTATGATTTTAAAAATGGATTTTATTTCATTTCTCTGATATGGAGAATCAGTGATAAGGGAAAAATTGAGAAGAAAATCAGCCATTTACATCATAGTCTTTAAGTTGCTCTTTGACATTGCAATTTTTACTTCTTAGAACTTTTCCTAGAAAAATTAAATGACCAAAAAAAGAACAAAAACAAAACAAATTTAAAAAAAGAAAAAATAGACTAATATCTAATGTAAGTTCTTTCATCCACTTATTATGAAAGGAAAGAAAAATATAAACTAATTTGCATTACTTGGAATGTTTTACTATTGGGTCATCAGAAAAGTCATGATGTATTTATTCCGTTTTTCTATGCAAAAAATGTATCATGACTTTTCTGACGAACCAATATATCATAGTAAAGTCGACTGTTAGAATTTGGAACCGCTTCTTGCACATCCTTTCTACTTTTGTCAGTGCTGCCCTTCTTTCATTGGACCTTTGTTGCAAGATTCAGGTTACATATACTTGATGTTGTAGGAGGTGGTGACCTTCAGGGATGTGGCAGTGGTCTTCACTGAGGAGGAGCTGGGGCTGCTGGACTCTGCTCAGAGGAAGCTGCACCAGGATGTGATGCTGGAGAACTTTAGGAACTTGGTCTCACTGGGTGAGGACAGGCGCTCTTGGTTGAACATCAGCTCCGCATGGTGACTTTGTGTCCTTGGCTGTGCAGGGCTTCAAAGTCTTGAACTGGTTTCTAGTTTTCTGATTATTATGAGAGAGATCTGGAATTTAAAAAATCTTTTTATCCTTATTAGAGTGTGTCTTTTGTAAATTGACAACTCAACTGCTATACATTTTTTTTCTTTTCTCAAATTGTGGTCATCTCGGGAACCAGCAGTTAGCGTAATGGCTATGTCACTGGACTCCCACGTAGTCGACCGCGGTTCGTGTCCTGGACCCGGTGGCTTAAAACTCACTCCGGGCGCGTGTGCGTGCGTGCCCAAGATCCCGAGAGGAGAATGGAGGAGAAGGGATTGCGGCGTGACCATCCCCCCTGGGGGATGATTTCTCGCTTTCTGTCTCTATGTCTCTCTCTGTCTGTCTGGCGAGTGCATGCGCCCTACAGTGAAAATCTCTAAAAAAAAAAAAAAAAAATCATGTGGTCATCTCCAGTTAGTGGGTCTTGATACACGTTTTGTGAATCATGCAGTTTTAAATTTTTTTATTTATTATTATTATTTAAAAGTTGCTATAGGGTATATGCAGAGAGACAGAGAGAAAGAGCGAGAGATGGAAAATGAGAGAGCAAGCTGCCAGGTCTAGGACTCAAACCATGGTTGGCCATGTGGGAGTCCAGCACCCCAACCACCATGCTATCTACTGTCTCCATATTAGCTTTTTTTAAAAATGAAATAAAATAGAGTAGAAAAATATCAGTGCCCTTTGCAGTAATTGCACATTGCTGTAAAAACTCCAGCCTATTTTCAAGAACTGACAGATTGTGGAGAGGGTCTAATGTAAGACATTTTTTTTCTTGTAATTTTTACTTAGGTCTACTTATCTAGAGTCTTTGTATAAGGTGTTTTTCCTCACATTGGTCATGATTAATTTTTTTTTCTTTTTTTGGGGGAGAGGTTTTTGCTATAGGGCGTGTGCGCTCGCCAGACAGACAGAGGGAGACAGAGAGACAGAAAGCGAGAAATCACCCCCAAGGGGGATGGCCACATGGCAATCCCTTCTTCTCCAGTCTCCTCTCGGGATCTTGGGCACGCACGCACACGTGCCTGACATGAGTTTAATCCACTGGGTCTGGGACTCAAACCGCGGTTGACTACATGGGAGTCCAGCGACATAGCCATTACACTAACTGCTGGTCCCATGATTAAAAATTTTGAAAACATTTTGGCAAACTGAAGATGAAAGTGTTAATAACAATTTTTAGTAATTTTGTCCTCTCGTGTATTTTTTTAAAGAATTATTTATTTAATTATTATAATTTTTTAATTTGATCAGAGAGTGAGAGAGGGAAAATGAGAAAGCAAGCCACCAGATCTAGGATTTGAACTGGGGTTGACCATGTGGGAGTCCAGCGCCACCTGCCAGTCCCTGGCCTCAAATGTATTAATTCAAAATATCTGTTCTTGCCTTTTCACAGGGCATCAGCCATTCAGCCCAGATGTCATACCCCAGTCAGAGAGGAAAGAAAAGCTTTGGATGATGAAAATGACAACTCAGAATGATAACCTTTCAGGTGAGATCTGTGACCCTATGAATTTGTCCTGCTTCTCATACCTCCACAGCTATGGTGCTGGTCTCAGCAAATGCCTAGTCCATGGATTATTGCTTTCATTCTTCAGTCTTACCTTTTTTGTTTGTTTGGTTAATGAGAGAAAGTGAGGGAGGGGAAGAGAAAGAGAGAGAGAGAGAGATTTTTGATAACACATTGCAGCCCTCCTGCCCCAGCCTCCAGTTAGCTGTGACCACAGACATGTGCCACTGCACTCAACCTGTTTTAGATTGGGCCATGAATTGAACCCAGGCTTGCCATGCATCTGCAGACATCATGCAACGGCAACCGTCCCACTAGTGCCATCATGGTTGGGTCAGTCTTGTTCTTTGTCATCGTTTATCCACTTTGATTCTTTTGAATGTTAGATCATGTCATACTTTGCTCGAAAGTTCATATAGATTTATATTTGGAGGCTTCAAAAAGTTCGTGGGAAAATGGAATTAAAGTTCCACCTTATAGGCCAGACAGTAGCACAGCAGAAAAATGCAACACTCTGTGAGGCAGTGCCACAGTAGGAAGGTTCCTGGTGAGAAACCTCCCTGAGTTTACCAAGCACATGCTTGCCCATGCTCTGGGGCTGGCTGAAGCTGGGAATGGATTTCAGCGTCAAGGCCCTCAAGGCCCTGTTGGGGATGCTGTTTCTCTCTCTCTTCCTCTCTATCTCTGTCTGTCTGCCTTATTCATAGAAAAAATAAATAAAGTATGCAAAATAATTCTGAAATTCATGCATAATATTTTTATAATACACATAGTCTGTGAACTTTTTGGACCCCATTTTGTTTGATGCAGAGTAAAATTCAGGTGCTTAAAATAGCTTATTATGGGGCTACCCCATGGCCTGGTGATTAAGGCAGCTGGATCCCACGTGACTGACCACCCAGTTCAAGTGCCAGACTCAGTGCCTTGAGAAACAAAGCATGCATACATGTGAGCCCAAAATACCAAAATAAGGACGAGATAGAGGAAAAAGGATTGTGGTGTGACCATGTCCCATGGGGAATGCTTTCTCTCACACTCCCCCATCTCTCTGGTGAGCACATGCACCCTCTGGCAAAGTTAAAAAAAAAAAAAAAAAGCTTATGTCTCATGTGTCTGCTCTTCCTCTTCCCCATCCCTCTGTAAACATGACCTTTTACTTTCCCTCTTGTCAGTCAGTCCCATCCACACTGGCCTTTTTTTTTTTTTCTATTTGGTTGGTTGGTTGGTTAGAGGTTTTGCCTTAGGACACATGCACTTGCCAGAGAGAAAGAGACAGACACAGTGAAAGAGAAAGTGAGAAATCACCCCCATGGGGTATGGTCATGCTGTAATCCCTTCTCCATTCTCCTTCCAAGATCTTGGGCACGCACCTGGCGTAATTTTCAACCCATCTGGTTCAGGACTCAAATCATGGTTGGCCATCTGAGAGTCCAGCGACATAACCGCTGTGTCATTTGCTGGTTCCACACTGACATTTTTGCTAGCCAAGGTTGTCCCTGTCTCATCACCAGTGATTTGAGCTTCTTTCTGTCAGGAGTGAATTTTCACTCTGTCATCCTCTAGGTCCCTCCCTTAACGTATTTAGATCTCTTCTCAGATGTAACAGCATAAATAAGGCCTCTGATGACCACTCTTAATTATACCTACTTCCTTCACTCTTTCTCTTATGCTGTGTTTACTTATTTATTTCACTACATTCCTACTGCAATGTCATCTCAGGAGAGAAGGTTTGCCTGTTCCACTTATTGCTGTATTCTCGTTGTGTAGAACATACTTGGGAGGGAGCAGGCCTGCTATAAATACTCATTGAATGAATGAATGAGTTAAGAGCACTGCAAAGATGGTGGAGCTAGAGCAAAGGAAAAAGATCCCTTTGGTTCCAGAAAATCTCAAAAAAGAGAAAAGCTTATCAAGCCCTCAAAGCCACCCAAACAAAGCAAGCACTTTTGGCAAGAAAAGAGCAGAGGAGAGAGAAAGGGCTCAGATTTAAGCGACTGGAATCATTCTTAAATGATTCCTGGTAGCAGAAGCGTGACATGGTACGTCTCTGATGACTTGAAGTGAAACCTCATGCCTTGGAAATGCCCAATAAACATTCATTGGCCTTTATTGTGTGCATCAAAAGGACTGCTGGGGTGAGTTCAGTGATGCAGAAGACCATCGCAAGACTGCATCTGAAGAAAATTTTCAGTGGTGTTTTTGTCAAAATCACTCCTCAAAGCCTAAAGACACTGTGAATAGTGGAACCTTATGTGACCTGGGGATTTCCAAATCTGAAATCTGTCTGGGAACTCGTCTTGAAATGTGGGCAAGCCAAGGTCAAGATTAGACCATCCTTTTAACCGACAACACCGATTGAGGAGCATCTAGGGAGGTGTGGCGTCATTTGTTTAGAAGACCTCATTCATGAAATTGCCTTCCCAGGGAAGTATTTCCAAGATGTCTCATGTTTCTTGTGCCTTTTTCACCGTTCAGTGGCCCATCATGCCACCAAGAACTAAGTGGGCTTCGTCAAGGAGATGGGCTCGCCTGGCTATCGGGGTGAACACATCAATCAGCTCATCTGCCAGCTGAACTAGATCCAGAATACCTAAAAGCACAGTGTGTTGGAAGGTGTGCTTTTGGCTTTTTGAATTGTATCTTCGAAGAAGATTATTGTCTGGTCCAATTTCAGAAACTGGAAAGGAAGAGTCTTGAAAATACAGTAGTTTATGTTCGTGACAAGAACCCCTCATCACAGCCCAGTTGTAAAGAAAAATTCCAGCATTTTCCACATTGGCTGCTGACTTCTCTGAAATTCAGCATATGCCATGGAGGAGGGAGCCCTGCTGCATCACATCTATCCTGGGCTTTAATGTTGGTCAATGAATAACCCAAACTTGTACAAGGTTCCCCAAGACTCCTATAGGGGTGGACCAAGCCTGGGGCATACTTGAAGTTGGGGGTTTCTAGGACCTCATTTTGAAAAAAATGTAAAATATAGTTTAAAGAAGCGCATAAACAAATGCTTGGTTGGTTCTACCATGAGGTTACATCCACCTTTTTGGCAGCTCTGAGAGCTCTCAGACTTGACAGACCCTAGTGTGTCTGATGACTTTTTTTGTTTAGCCTATAGCTGTCTTAGTCTTTTTCTCTATCTCAGCATTTGAGAAATTCCCTTTGTCGTAAGACACATATATACCAAAATTTTGCCTGAATATTTCATAGTCCTGCTGTTACCGGGATTGGTCACCAGGCCCTGATCTTGCTAGTCTCTTGGTTCTGTGCCTGATAGAATACACCTTAACAAGAAAGCTTTTCCCTTCAATACTATTTGCTGTTTTCTCTTAGAACACAGTGGCAAATTGTGTTGCCCCCCTGCACCATCTGTAACTCTAGAGACATCCAACATTTTCTCCCCTCACATGGAATTTCCTTGTTTCCTTGATAGCCGTCTCTTTCAAACCCAGATTGGGAAGGAGTAAACCATTTTCTTGGTTTAGCATGGGTGATACTGGCATATCAAGCAAGCAGCTTGGTTAAATAATTTCTCTTGCATGATCTAGACTCCAGAAGTACTCTTGCCCTACTGGCAGTGGGAGAGTAGGCCAGCCTGAGGGTTTCTGGCAGTATTTGTCCTGGGAAAAATGGGTCTGCTGCTGATTGGATTCTCCATGTCCACCATACGTGGGCCTTCCCTCTGCTTTCTTGATTTAGTTGCCTCAGCCTGCCAGCTCAGCAGTTGATGAGCATGTGCCAGGCTGAGGCCAACTTGAAGTTTAACCACTCTGTTCCCTGGTCCCTTCAGATCATCCATGCTGCAATTTTGGCTCAGGTCCTCAAACATAGCTATGAAATTTAGGGGGATAACAGTGCCTTAAAATGTGCCAACTTATGAGATGATTAATTAGGCTGATTGACTCTAGAGTTGTTACCCTTACACTGTAAAGTATTGTGAGATCAGATTAATTTAAAATGATGTATCAGTCATGGGAAAACATTATGGATGTGGAAGCTTGGGGCTTGCCATCCACATCTGTCTATACTAAATATGGGATCAGTATTTCCACTCATGCCTGTAAGTCTTGTCTGCTTCACATCATTGTTAAAAGAATTTATAATTTTATACAAATAAAAGGGTTATTAAAAAAAGAATAAATGAATTAATAATGGTTACTAAAGGACTTTTTCCCATTAATACTGGAGATATTTAGAGGGTGGTAAATGAATATGCGATGAAGGCATAGTTTAGTTTTTTCCTCCCTGATGAATGTTTCATCTAATTCTAGTTTATGAGGTGCCTTTGGATATTTATAGGTTATGAATCCATTAATGCACCATTTTAGTCTGTTCAGGCTGTTGTAACAAAATATCATAAACAGGGTGGTTTGTAAATAATAGAAATTTCTTTCTTTCTTTGTTTCTTTCTTTCTTTTTTGGGGGAGAGGTTTTTACTATAGGGTGCGTATGCTTGCCAGAAAGAGACAGAGGGATAGAAAGTGAGAAATCACCCCCCAGGGGGGATGGCCATGCCACAATCCCTTGTCCTCCATTCTCCTCTCAGGATCTTGGGCACGGACGCACCCATGCCCGGCATGAGTTTAAGCCACCGGGTTCGGGACTCAAACCATAGTTGACTACATGGGAGTTCAGCGACATAGCCATTACGTTAACTGCTGGTCCCTGTGTATATTGAACATATTAAGCATTCTAAGAGCAGAGATAGCTTCCTAAAATTTATGAAGGAAAATGGTTAGAAAAAGGAAGTCAAAGAGAAAGGTACCTGGGTTCAACTGAAGTACCAGCCTGCTCCACCCAGAGAAGCACACTTACCATTGGAAAGGAGCCTAAGCTTCTGGAACCTATTCCCTATGAATTCATGGCATGATAGGTGTTAAACTAATCTATGGTCTATAAAAATGTTCTCCTTAAAAAAATAAAAGAAACTTAATGTGCTTCTGAATGAGTCTCATTAAAGTGTAGTGAATGGGAGACTGGTGGGCCACCTCTTGGTTTCTGCAGACATGTAAATCAGATAATATTTTAAAAATAAAACAAAACAAGAAACCCTTCTGGTTCAATATAGCCTAGGCTACATGGGCCATCTCTGAATTCTCTTTATCATTTCAGGAGGCAAGAATCTCAATGAGATGGAGACTCTTCACAAAGTTGAATTACAGTTCCTTCCACATGAAGATCTTTTCTTCTCACAGATCTGGCAACAAGTTATAAGGGAGTTAACCAAGTGTCAAGATTCCACGTTAAATGTTCAAGGGACTGGCTCTCAATTGGAAAAACAAGATGATATATCCTATAAACACAAGGAGTTCAGTAGTCAGAGTTCACTTCTTCAAGTTCACTACAGAGTCCCCAGTGGTAAAAAACCCTACAAAGGAAAGGAATGTGAGAAAAGTTTCATTTGGTGCTCTCATCTTCAAAGTAATCAGAGGACCCATGCAGGAGAAAAGCCCTACAAATGTGAAAGATGTGATAACTCCTTTCGTCGGTTTTCAAGTCTTCAAGCCCATCAGAGAGTCCACAGTAGAGAGAAATCATACAAATATGATGGACTGTATAAGGGTTTTAGTCAGAAATCATGTCTTCACCAGCATCAGAGAATCCCCACTGGAGAGAATCCATACAAATGTGAGGACTACGGGAGGAACACTGGGAAGAACTCACATTGTCAAGCTCCTCTGATAGTCCATACAGGTGAAAAACTCTATAAATGTGAGGAATGTGGGGTGAGCTTCAGTCAGAACTCATATCTTCAAGTCCATCAGAGAATCCACAGTGGAAAGAAGCCTTATAAATGTGAAGAGTGTGGGAAGGGCTTTAGCTGGCGATCACGACTACAGGCTCATCAGCGAATCCACACTGGAGAGAAACCATACAAATGTGATGCATGTGGCAAGGGCTTTAGTTATAGCTCACACCTTAACATTCATTGTAGAATCCACACAGGAGAGAAACCTTATAAATGTGAGGAGTGTGGGAAAGGCTTCAGTGTGGGGTCACACCTTCAAGCCCATCAAATAAGCCACACTGGAGAGAAACCATACAAATGTGAGGAGTGTGGAAAGGGCTTCTGTCGTGCCTCAAATCTTCTGGACCATCAAAGAGGCCATACTGGAGAGAAACCATATCAATGTGATACATGTGGTAAGGGCTTCAGTCGTAGCTCAGATTTTAACATTCATTTTAGAGTTCATACAGGAGAAAAGCCCTATAAGTGTCAAGAGTGTGGGAAAGGCTTCAGTCAGGCCTCAAATCTTTTGGCCCATCAAAGAGGCCACACAGGAGAGAAACCATACAAATGTGATACATGTGGGAAGGGCTTCAGTCGGAGTTCAGATCTGAATGTTCATTGTAGAATTCACACAGGAGAGAAACCCTATAAATGTGAGAAGTGTGGTAAGTCTTTCAGTCAGTTCTCAAGTCTTCAAGTGCACCAGAGAGTCCACACTGGAGAGAAACCATATCAATGTGCAGAGTGTGGGAAGGGCTTCAGTGTAGGTTCACAGCTTCAAGCCCATCAGAGGTGCCACACTGGAGAGAAACCCTACCAATGTGAGGAGTGTGGGAAGGGCTTCTGTCGGGCCTCGAATTTTCTGGCTCATCGTGGAGTCCACACAGGAGAAAAACCATACCGATGTGAAGTGTGTGGTAAGCGCTTCAGACAGAGATCCTATCTTCAAGCCCACCAGAGAGTCCACACTGGTGAGAAACCATACAAATGTGAGGAATGTGGGAAGGTCTTCAGTTGGAGCTCATACCTTCAAGCCCATCAGAGAGTTCATACTGGAGAAAAACCCTACAAATGTGAGGAATGTGGGAAGGGCTTCAGTTGGAGCTCAAGCCTTATAATTCATCAGCGAATCCATGCTGATGATGAAGGTGACAAGGACTTTCCTTCAGAGAATTCATACAGGAAAAAAACACTATAAACTTCCATGTTTTAATACCTTAAGTAGGTGCCAAAATATTCCACTTATCAGAACTGTCACAGGAGACATTTGTTTCACAAAAGCATCAATATTTTAGCTACAACTTGACATATTACAGTGGTAGGAAGACCACACAGCAGAGAAGCCTTGGGAGAGTGGAGCCATATAGACTACATTCAGAGCCTTGACCCTTAACATATATGCAAACAAGAGGTTCAAGAAGGATCAGTCTGATCTGGAATTAATAAAAGTACTAAGATGAAAATGCCAAAATCTATTCCACTACAATATAAGCTCCAAGGCTAGAACTCTTGTTGACTGCTAAATCCACTCTTGCTTTTTCAGTGCCTAACACATTGTACATTTTTCAGTAATTGCCAAGTGAGTGAAAATAGTCATATTTTTAAGTTTTATTTAGTTTATCTCTCAAAGTTGCTGTAAAATGGTCTTCAGAAGAATTTTAGAAGGTTTGGAGAACACTTAAGTTAGGCACATGGACTCATTTTCCTAATTCTGCAGGTCCTATGGACTGTTACCTAAAGTAACAACCATTAGTGGGTCCAAAAATCAGTTCAGTAGTTTGTGACCAGCATTTCTGTATCCTACCAGTACTTTATAAGGGGTATAACTTATATGCAGTAACAGGCATAAATCTTGAGTTCATGGCTTCCTGAATTTTGACAAATGAATACACTTATGGTAGTTGTCACCTAGATCTATGTATACAACATTTCTATTAAACAATTTCTTTGTATCCATTTCCAGTCAATTCTCCTTTCACTACCATAGGTATAGAAATCACAGGTATAGGTAGGCCTAGTCTTGAGCATCATCTGGTTTCAGTTTGTACTCTTGTGTCTGGAATCTTGCGAATATATGACCAGCTGATATTTGACAAAACTCATCGTCCTATCATGATAAAAGCTTTTCAATGAGATAAATTATCTGTGAAAATCCTACAGGTTAACATTGTTTTAAATTAAGGAATAACTTCATATGGTAAAACTGACTTTTTACTGTGTCATTCTTTGTTTTGGCAAATGCATACTGTTAAGTGACCACAGTCACAATCAAGACATTTAACTCTTCCAGCACCCCTCCACCCTGTGTATTCAACTTCTCTCCCCCTTCCCAGCCTTTAGCAACCACTGACCCTTTTTCTGTCTGTATAGATTACCTTCCCAAGAATGTCATATAAATGAACCCCTACGGTATGTAGCCTTTTGAATCTGGCTGCTTTCACTTAGCTTAATGTTTCTGAGATCCACCCATTTTATGTGTCATTCTTTTTTATTGCTGAATAATATTCTGTTATATAGATGTACCAAATTTGTTTATTTACCACTTGAAGGATATTTGGCTTTCCAGATTTAGGGATTCTGAAGAAAGCAGCTATAAAAATTGGCACAGAATTTGGTGTATCAACCTGTTTTTCTTTCATCTTCATAAATAACCTAGGATTACTGCTGGGTCATATGGTAACGGTATGCTCAACTTTATGAAAAACTGACTTTTTTTTTTTTCTAAAATGGCTTTACCATTTTACATTCCCACCATCAGTGTATAAAAGTTCTGGTTTGTTACCATCATCATGTGGTATGTCAGAATTTTGTTTTGCTTTTTTGTTTTTTGTATTTCAAAGGTTTACAGTGGTATCATTTGGTTTAAATTTATATTTCCATAATGACTATGTTTAGCATCTGTACATATGCTTGTTTGCTATCTATCTGCCTAATTTATTTGATGAACTGTGTTCAAATATTCACCTATTTATATATATTAAAAAAGTGTTCTTTATTGTTCTTGAGTTTTTTCCTTCTTTCCTTCCTTCTGTCCTCTCTCTCTCTCTCTCTCTCTCTCCCTCCCTCTCTCCTTCTCTCTCTCTTTCTCTCCTTCCTCTTTTTGCCATGGGGTGCGTGCACTTGCCTGAGAGACAAAGAGATAGGAAGAGGGAGAAAGCATCTTCCAGCTGGGTATGGTTACACCACAGTCCCTTTTCCATTTCTCCATCCTGTTGAGATTTTGGGAACTCACATGCACCCAGAGTGTTTTTGTTTTTTTTTTTTTGAGAGATTTTCACTGTAGGGCGCGTGTGCTCGCCAGACAGACAGAGAGAGACATAGAGACAGAAAGCGAGAAATCACCCCCCAGGGGGGATGGTCACGCTGCAATCCCTTCTCCTCCATTCTCCTCTCGGGATCTTGGGCACACACGCACACGCGCCCGGCGTGAGTTTTTTAAGCCACCGAGTCCAGGACACGAACCGTGGTCGACTACGTGGGAATCCAGTGACATAGCCATTACGCTAACTGCTGGTTCCCCACCCAGAGTGTTTTCAAGTGACTGAGATTCAAATCACACAGCTATGTGGGATCCATCTCCCTTAACCACTACACCATGGCGCTGGCCCAAGAGTTCTTTTTATGTTCTGGAATACACATCCTTTGTTAGTTACATGTTTTAATGATAACCCATTATGTAGCTTTAGTCTTTTCCAGTAATGTTATTTTTCAGAGTTCAAGTTTATTTTCCATGAAGTTCAATTTTTATCTTTGATGTGTTTTAATTTTTTTCAGATATGAGAATTTTTCCTAATCCAAGCCCACAAATATTTTTCTATTTTTTATTTAAAAATTTTATGGTTTTACATTTAGGACTATCATCCATTTGAGTTAATCTCTGTATAAGTTGTGAGGCCAAGATACCTTGTTTGCATATAGACATCCAGTTAACTATGCTTTCAATATTGAATTACTGTTGCACTTTCGTGAAGAATCTATTGATTATACATATGGGTCTTCTTTGGGCCTCCATTTGGTTTTGTTAACTTATGTGTCTATCATTTTGTCAAGTACCACATAACTATGACTCTCACAGCTTTATATAATGCCTTTTTAATAAAAGTTTTAAAATTTTAATCATGAGAGCTCACGTGTACATGTGAGGCACACTTGACAGAGTCTTGTTATGCCACTATCAACTTTTCCCAGCCCTCCAGCTCACCAGGATCTTGGGTATGTGCATATCTACTGTGTTTTCAGGTCAAATTGGGATTCCAAACTGTAGTCATATGTGGCTTCCAGCACTGCAGACAAGTAAACTACAGTTGGTGCCACCAAGGCTGGGCCTATATAATCAATCTTCTAACTTCTTTTTTTTTTTTTTCAAAATTAGTTTGGTTGGGACCAGTGGATTGGTGTGGGGAGCCGCCCACATCAAAATGGCTGTCATGACCTTCACTGCTTAAGAATGGCCGGTGCGACCTTGACACAGACACCAGGAATGCAGACCCCCTGGTTCACACAGAGCTGGCAGGTCCTCAATAAGGTCCGCTGTAAACCCCGCCTACCTCCCTCTACCTTGTGTATATAAGAAAGCGCTCTAGCCCTCAATAAATGAGCGAAACTTTTACATCAAAGAGCTGTG